TGTACAGTAAATAATATCTTCTTTAAACGGAAAGGTCCATTTGCAGTCCTTCCTCGAGCATTTTTCACTCCTTAACCGTGCAACGAACGTGTTCGATTATTGTAGAATACCTACTTTTCATTCACAGTTCATTGCAGCAATATTTCTTGTTTTCTTTTTCTTAAGAGAGAAAAGCACACCTCCAAATGCCGTGATGCTTTTCATTATTGAGTTCGTGACAAACTCTCTTGTCGAACTTTCTTACTTTTCCTGTTATTACCGAGTGCTGTGAAACAATTGTAATTATACAACTAGTATCTGGGCGAACACTTGTTTCGTTTGCGATAGATTTCATTCGATTAAATCCTTTTAAATTTCGTTTGAATGAGAAAGGACGATAGTTGCAGATTTCGTTTTATAGCCCAAATCTCTTAAGCAAATTTTTACAAACCAACGGCAAGTGTCCCTCTCATTAGTTGTTCTTCCATCAAATGCTTTACTGATATTTCTTAACTCCAGTTCACTACATAATTTCTCACATAAAGAGACAGCAATCTTAACTGTCTGAGTTCCATGATTCTTAACGTCGGTAGTATTCAAGTGTTCAACACTCGTTGAATGAAACAAATACTACAGTTGCACTAACCCCGTATGTTGTTGTTATATGACAAGAGTTTTACTAAAGCCTTAACTATTGCTTTCTTCCGCAACCAATAAAACCCTGACGCCAGTCAGCAGTCATTTCATTTGCAACAACCTATTACATTAGAATGGTTAAAGCCGCCCTGGTATTTATAGTGGTACTCCTAGCTGTATTGTTCGGGTTCGAATTCGATTTCCGGATAAGATCTGGATATTCGTAAGCGTATTGCGTGACATGGGGGCACTCTCTCTTCCAAAATGCAACAGAGAGCCGAAACTGATATCGAGTAGATTGGTGGAAGAGGACAACAGGGGGGGACCCTCGGATCTTCCCCAAAAGTGCTCTCAATCAAAATTTGGAAGTAGCTGGCCAAAGTCGGACGATCACCTGTATAGAAATCGGATCCCATGTCAATGACAGACGCAGTTTTGCACTTCTTGCTCCGATAAACTTCATGGGCTTGTTCTGATTAGGTCAAACAAGCGAGATAAGCCATGACAGAAATGTTAAAACTTGTGTATGGTTTCTTAAAATTCAGTCACTTTTCGGATAGAAATGCACATTCTAATATAGTCTACAGATATGGAAGAGTTCCTTGTGCTAAAGTTTAAAGCTTCCTTTAGTGCAAGGTTCTCACCATTTTTTAAGATTTCTTTAAACATGCCATTATTTCTTTCACCATCTGTGCATATAAAAAGTACCATAATGAATCAATTATTCGAAAGCACTGGACCATATAATTTCCTTCAATAAGATCATAATAACAGTTTATTGCATCGAAAGTGTTCTTAAACGATAAATATTATTCTAGGTTAAGATTTCGATTTCCTTATCTGCATCGCAATTTAGAACTTAAATACTGAATTGTTTTTAGATGATTTATATTTTTTAAAAAATTTTTCCAAGCACATAAATTCCATTATCGTAAGTATGCGGACGTTTTTCGAGATAAAATTTATTTTACCGCCTTATGGGAATTTATTTCCAAGAGTTAATTACCTTATTAGCTTATATTTCAGGAAATAAGAAACAATGAATATTTTTTTCCTTTCTGCTTAGTTTTATATTATTTAATTCGATATTATTTTTAAAAAGAGGGCACGATAATTTTACTGAAATTTAATCATTCTGATACATTCTGTATTTAATTAAAAAAATTTCATGAGTTATATTTACTTCTTTGGCAGTTGAAACAGATCGAAATGAAGAAGTGCATTAATAAATGGCGATCCATCTGGCTTATTTTGTATTATTTGTTGGCACTGAATAGCTCAATCGGTAGAGCATTAGTCTTTTAAGCTGATGATCCTAATCGGGCGGTTCATTTTTTCGTTTGTAACCGATTAATATGCTTTAAGAATACATATATTTAAAAAAGATAAAGATTTTGCCAAAATTTAAGACAGAGAATATAGTTTTAAGTAATAGGAAATTCAAATTAACAACGTTTTTCGACATATTAATACTATGATAGACTTGTAAGATACTAATTTTATGCATATGTAGCTATAGGTACATATGCATATTATTATATTTAACAAACCAAAGCCGAAACTGTTTCATAAATCACTGCTTTCTGAACTTGGTTTCGATAAATAAAAAGCGTTGAAATATGATCAAGGTCAAAGCAATACATTTTCAATCTCATAATTTTTTTAAATGCTACTTAAAATTACAAAATAAAATCATATGTTTCTAATGAAGAAATAGATGTTGCATATTGATATGAAAGTGATAATGAATTTTAATAATTAAATGCTTAACACTTACTAATGCTCCTTTTTCTTTAACAGAAGAAATATTGCCTGAGAGCCTTAATGTTAACAGTTAAGAAAAAAACAATATTTTAAAACATGATCTGCAGGTTTTGAAGAACCTATATTAAAAGATTTATAACTTAGAATAAGAATCTAGAGCTCATGTTTTACTTTATTCTAAATAAAAAAAAATCGCAGATTGATGTTTAAAAACAGGCTATTTCCTTAATGATATATTTTAAAATATTTACAGCTACAAAAGTTCACTTACTTGCGAGGTGACTAAATGACCTCAAAAATCACGTAAGTACAAATTACGTCGCCAGAATTTTACAAAGAAGGTTTAAAGCACGACTTCCTTGGTTCTCGGATAGTATCCGAATTTGGCTTAGTAAGTAAAAATATATATTAAAAAACATAACGCCAGAATGGTTCGGGATGGAAGAAGAGAGGAATATCTAGACTGATAGTATATTTAAAATTAGTAAAACTCCACTACCGAGAAAATACAACCATCATTTTACAAAAATTTTGTCTGCGGGAACCATCCAGTTCGACAAACTGAAAGTTTTGAATTACTGAAATAGAAATTCTTCTGCAGTTACTCAAACAAATCAGTTGGTTTTGCCTAACTAAACTGTGAACGATAAATATTTTTTTAATATATTCAACAAAATGCATTTTAGCGATTTATACATAGAAAATTTTGAGTTTGGCTATCATGGGATGTAAGATATTTCTCCCGCCTTCCTAGCGTGCTTTCGTGGTGTAGTGGTTCTGCACGTTGGGCCGGTATTCCAGACGTCAGTGGTTCGATTCCCGGAGAAAGCGTTTGCTCATTTTTCATCTCTCCTGCTTCCAAAAAATCCTAATGTTTCTACATTGGCGCCCGAACTAAAAGGGCTGTGGATGATGATTATCCTTACCCAGGATTTGGCGACTAGGTCCCCTAAAAACTCCAGTGGCCCTTTAAAAAGGGGAGTATATAAGGTATTTCTCCCGCTTTCCTAGCGTGCCTTTGTGGTGTAGTGGTCAGCACACTGAACCGGTATTTCAGAGGTCCGTGGTTCGATTCGCGATTCGCGGCGAAGGCGGTTGCTCATTTTTCATGTTGCCTGCTTAAAAAAAAAAAAAAAAAAAAAAAAAAAAATCCTAATGTCTCTGCAGAGATAGTATATTAATTAGCGGAGGATAAATAACATTTCTTTTCGTCGGTTATGGGTTCGAATTCCCCTAAGGGCCTGATTATTTATCACTGTAGTGCTTTACGGAATGGAGTACTTAAAAACCTGTTTTTGCGAAAGCCTCTCGATATTTAGTGGAAAATTGTCTTGGAACTCTCAGTTTCCACCTGTGGAGATGTTGCTTTTTAGAGGTGAGTTGGAATTTAGGATTATAGCAATCGCATGCTTTGCCCGAAATAAAAAATTGAGTGCAATTCAAATACTGAAATGGCAAGCGTGCTACGAATTTCTGGACGGAAGTTATTTTACTGTATAGGGTTCTAATTAAATTGTGTGTCCTTGGCAATTAGAATCCACGCAGAACAGTGTAGAGACTATTCGCTAGTCTTCTGATAACTACGAGAATCCAAAGAAAGGTTAAATTACCCTTTTGTTTTAACTTGAGGATATTTACAGTCTTCACTTCTCGGGCTTAAAAGAAAGCCTCCACTTGGGCTTTAACTTTAAATAGAAAATAAAAAACTAAACAAATTCTAACTACTTGAAATACCCTCTACTAATAAACTAATTGAAATACGCGGCAGAATACGCTCTACTGAGAACTTTTGAGCTCTTCTGCGGAACTAACTGAAACTTCTGTTAAATATTGGTTCTACCTCATTTACATAAAGCGCGATACTGAAAACTCATTCTGACAGGGAATTGTAGGTGGCAAGGAAGAAAGTAAAGGAAAGAGTTTCAAAATTGAAACATAACTATAAGGAAATTAAAATAATCCCTACAACTGCTTAAAAAAAAGTCTGACACCTTTTTTTTTCATAATTTATAGAATTTTTCTATCTAATTAACATAATCGACTGTTGAAATCTGCGTAGTTGTAAATTTCAAATTAGCTTTTTTTATTTATACATACACATAGTAAATATAGATTAATTTAAAACTAAAGCTACAGAAATAAAAAAATATATTTTTTACTTATTATATTTTCATTAAAAACTCCTGAAGTTAAAAATAATGGCTGTGCAAATTGAAATTGGTGTAAGTTAAAAAGTATTCTTGAAAAAAAAAATATTAGTTAATTTAACTAATAATACATAGTGGTAAAAAATTGGAAAAAATGTATTATTATTTTTAGTGTCTTACGTTATCAAGATAAGGCAAAGTCATCTAATAATATTTCTTTTTCCTAGCAAAAATATTTGTGTTTCTTTAAGCTTGAAATTAATTAATTAATTAATTTCACTAAATTGGTAATTTAAATATTTTCTGCACCTCTGAAAATTAAAAACTATACATGTGAATATAAATGTATATATCTTTTATCATGCAGTCATTTATCAATTCATATCTACTACGTCCAGCTCTCGTTCAACAAATAATATTCTATAACATTTGTAGGATTATTATATGTACTAAATTTGTCTTTCTTCTTTTCAGCTTTGGCACATCAGCTTCTCAAAATGGCTATCGTCGGGAGTACTCTACGCTTGAACCTTATGCGGCAACTATTATAAAAGTTGTAACACTGAGACGGAGAGGGAACGCTCCTTTAGGTTTCTCGATCAGAGGAGGTAGGCCATTCTTTAAAATTTTTTACTTCTATTTCGTTATTGGCTTTCGAGTAATATCAATTTCAATTTTTATAAATTTGTTAACTTCTGTTTATGATGCTTTGTTGAGATGTAGGAAGGCGAATAAAATTGGAAGCTACCTATAACGGAGTTCTTTTGCTTTCTAAATTAAATATTTGATACACGGAAGATAATTTTTTAATGTAAACAGTACTTTCATAATTGTGTTACGTGGCATAAATTTCTAAATGCCAAACTTCTTCTAATATTTTGATTTTTATTTATATTTACAATCTACAACACATGGTTAATAAATAAAGCCATGAATTCATATTAAAATTGTGGCAGCATAAACCTTTCAAATAAGTGTCATATCACGAGAAAAACTCACAGTCTAACATTGAGATTTTCGCAGAAACTTGTGAATGATCAGTTAATAAATTGTGTATTTTTAATCAGTCCATCGAAGAGAACGTGATATTAGCCAATTCATTCATAACTTCACAGTTCCAATCAATCAGTAATACTTCATGCTATTTAATCAAACTATTCCTTTCATTATGACCAGCTAAGGTAACAACTCCTAAAATCATCATGAAATAAAATTTTCTTATTTCGAAAGTTCAGTAGCATTCTAAAATGCTGTTTATATGGAGCAATTAGAACATAAAGCAAAAATATGAAGACATCTAGGGCTTGAAATACTCCGATTTTGTAATGAAACTTGTGCATCCAAATTGTGCTCTGAGATGGAACATGGTGCTGTTGAGCGGCAGGTTAAAAAAAAAAAAACAAACCTTCAAATTGTGTAAATTCTCATTCCCCTTTCAGATTTGGAGTTATATGCTTCGCCACACGGATGCAGAGCTTACCCATATGCATTTTAGCTATGGGGCTGCGGACAGAAACAGAACAACTCTTCAAATAATGTGCATGGAATTTTTTTTTTTTTTTTTTTTTTTTTTTTTTGTATTTCTTTTTAATAGTTGCTCTGTTTTCGCCGCAGTTCCATAGATAAAATGCATGCAAGCAATCTCTACTTTACTGTGGCGAAGCATGCGGCTCAAAATCAGCTCAGGAATGAGAGTTTGTGCCAAGAGAAAGTGCAGGCTTTATCCAGGCTTTTACCTGCCGGCTCAACAGCAACCTATACCACTTCAACATGCCATTTGGGCACACGCACTCCTGTGCAAAATCTACTCATTTCGTGTTCCCTTTTACCTAACTTTAAAGTCTTGCCAGATATTTTTTATTCACCGTGTAAACGATATGTGTATTTAATCTTTTGAAAACATGCAATCGAAACGAATTTGTCGTTTCTTTGACTATAATGAACATTTCTCTTCGATTTCGTACTGCATGCTACCACAGTAAATGAAGAGCACTAACTCACTGTGTTTCTGTGAATGCCATAAATCTCAAGTCAAACGACTTATTTCATTTTAGTTTGGCAGATTCTTATAACTTTGATTGCTGATAATTTGCAATAAAAGGAAATGTAAATAAAAATTTCCTAAAAGAAATTGTTTGTTCACGTAGATTCTGAAAATACTGATGATGTGCAGTTACAAAACTTAGCTCAAATCCATGTAACAGATGTTTGGGTAAAGCAGAGTAGCAACTAAAATGTTTTTTGATAGTCACAGCTGCATTTTCTTTCGAAACTAAAGATATTTACAAAGTAAAACTTCTGCTATCCGCAGATTACATGTCTGTAAATTTAATAACAAACACTAACAAGTGAGATTTAACAGCTCTCTGTGGCTGTTACCGTAAAAGTTTAAGTAGTGGGTTAACTGTTTTGGAATGCTAACTTAAATTAAATCTCATTCATTGCCAAAGTCAGAAATTTCGTTAGTGAATCTTGCTGACGTCTAAATTCAACATCATACAATAGCAGCTGAGCAAGTTTAAGTTACCTACCACCCTCAATGTTCCCAGTTTTTTTTTTTTTTTTTTTTTTTTTTTTTTTTTTAGCTCCGAAAGAAATTATCCTGTACAGATGTTATTTAGATTCACTGAATGTTTATCATATTACTTTTTCTCTTATTGTTATAGGTTTTGTGAAGGTTTTGCAATGTTTGACAATTAAAAAAAAAATAAGAATCAGATAATGCTCAAAGCCTTTTGCCACATAAATTGTTGCGAATTACTTATTTTGCCAGCATAATCTCATCTTCCGGAAGGTTTCGTAGGAATGCTGTGTTTTACAGTCAGGACTTATATCCTAAAATTAGAATTATCGGAGCAGCCAAAATAAATAAATAAAAATAAATAAAAAGAATTAAAAATATAATATAAAAATCTGAAAGGTTTCAGATTTTAAATTGCGTCCAAAGGGGCGTTTTTTTAAATATTTTGTCTGTTACCTTTGTAAGGATTATATTAACTTTATTAACAGTTAAATTTTGAGTTAAAGTTCCTTTCGTATCGATTCTTAACTTCAGCTTACCACTTCCGGCCAGAACGTAGTTTTAGAATCACGTCTGAATACATAATGAGGAAGAGCAGTATTTAACCGCGAAGTTCTTCGGTCTTAGTGAGAGAGATACCAGGATTTCTGTCTGCACGCGTCCGCCTTTTTAGGCTACTCTCTCCTAAGCTATTATCACGCTCGGCCGTACTTTAGGCCTTTGATAGTTTCGCAGTCTATTAACGTTAAGGGGCCAATATGTTAGAATTTATTGATAGCTTCGGCTATACCTCTTTTAGTTTTATATTAGTTTAGTATTATTCTTAGTCTCTTAAGTTCAAAGCTCAAGTGTCGGCTTTATTATACACTCCAAGACGGAGTTTTCTTAAACTTTAGTTGGAATAATAAAGGGTTAGTTTACCCTTCTATCTTGTTGTTTCCTGGCTAAATATCACGTTCTTCGCACTTAAATCATAAAATTCAGTTCAAGATCAACATCGCAAAATAGTTTTAAATTGAGCATATCTTTAGAATATCCGATATGCAGTCTCACGCGCTGGAGATAAAAATGTTTTTTCTGCACAACGTTGCCATTGCTCGCTTTGAAATCCTTGAGTTTGTTAATAAGAAATTCGTTAAAGATTTACAAAATATGAAATCCATAATAAAACAAATTCCAAATTTAAAATTTGGGCTTCCACATGCCCATATTCGCAGTAGGATTACGTCATTCAAAATTCGAAAGCTCTGTGTACCGTTGTTTTATCACAATGTGAGAAATCTACACACATTTACTTAGATTTTTAATTATTTAATTTCTTCAAACATAATGCGGACTCTAACATTTGGTGGCAACAGTTTGAAAAGTGAAACGGACATTAATAGTGAACCAACGCAAAATCGCAAAACGAAAACAATAGTCCTTCCGGGACAAAGCCACTTTGGACTAAAAAAAATTAAAATTATAAAAACTAAATTAATTAAAAATAAATAAAAAAAAAATTTATAAATTAATGTTTTATAAAATTAGAGGAATTTCCAACTAAATCAAATTGATGTATCTTAAAATTTAAATGAAATCAGAAAGAAATGAACGCCCACTAAATTAATGGTAGCAAGGCATGACATACTAAGAATAAAAGAAATATTCCTAACAATGTTCTTCGAAATCAAAAGGAAAGGAAGAAAAAAAATGCCTTATATACTCTCATTTTAAAGGGCGACTAGGGATTAGGGGAGCCAAGCACCAAATACTAGTGGTGACAAAATATCATCAACCACCTTTTAGTTCGGGCCCTACTTGTAAAGTCATTTTTTTTCCCGCGTTCCTGAAGTCAGGAAACTGAAGAATGTGCAATACCCTTGCCAAGTTTCGAACTCCGAACTCGCATCGAACGTGCTTGCAGTTAGACTAGGAAGGCTTTAAGAAAGCGGGGAAAAAATACCTTCCAGAGTAACCGGCAAGTGCATAAACATTGGACAAAATATGATGCAACCGAGCACTAAGACTTATAACTAAGATTGTATGAATCAAATATATATATAACAATCAAAAGATGAAAAAAAAATTAAATAGTCGAGGGGAACGACATTTGCATGTCGAAGTATGAAAACGGCTTTATAAGATACATGACAGCATCCACGTTCGCGACAGGTCATTATGTGATAAAAGTTTAATAAAATCATCTTAATTATAAATTGAAAAATAATTATCAGGTTTCTTTTGATGAAATTGCATGTGCAAAGTCAGATTACAAATGGTTTCTTTAAAAAAAAAAAATTTTATTGAAGATTGAAAAAAAAAACGAAAAATGCCATAGAGAAAAATGTTTTGCCAGATTGTTTTTAAGTTATGCAGCAATAGATTAGAAAATAGACATTTAACTTCTAATAGCCTTGAAGAACAAACATAAATCTTGTCGAAGAGTGCTCAAATGATATTAGTGTAAGTAATTTTTGAAATTAATTGCTTATGGTTTTATTTTAGGATGGGAACATGGAACAGGAGTCTTTATTTCGGAAGTAGTACCTGGTTCTATAGCTCAAAAACAAGGCTTAAGGGTAAGTTGATCAGTAATTTATTAAAAACAATTACTACAATTTATAGTTTATAATATTTGTTTTGCATAAAGATGGGTATTGTCTCATAGAACAGCTATTAAATTACTTCGTAAAGTCTTAAGGTGTTTAAATAATAAATGTGCTTTAAAAGCGTTAAAAATTCCCCAGCAAGTTCGATATAAATTTAAAAAAAAATATGATTTTTATAAATTCTTCAAAACTTCCATTTTTAAATGCTTCAGGTCTTCGCATGCTGTAAGCTTATATCTTTCAAAAAAGATTTCCCTTGGAAATAAAGTGAATTTGTTTGCATTTGTGAGTACAAAAGAATAGGAAGAATTATTTACTTTGTATTACATATATTTATTTGCATTATCTAAATGAAAAAAATTGATTTTTTACCCTAAAAGAAAATCAAGAAAAGTTCTTGAAATAGAGCTTTTATTTTTGTACAGATTTTAATATTTATAAGCTTGTTTTACTACATTTATGAAAGTAATTTTTGCTATGTTCCGTTTATAATTTCTATTTTAACTGCTAATCATTTCAGTAGTTTCCATGCTAAAAATTATCATTTCATTTTAGGTGGGTGATCAGATTGTCCGCATTAATGGCTTCAGTATTCACCGAGCTATCCATATGGAAGTTTTATCACTCCTGAAAACATGTCCTGGAATAGTGTTGAAAATTAAGAGTAATTATTGTGTTTTATGAATAACGAAAACACATTCGTTAACCTGCATTTTTCACAAAATGCAAAATTTAATCTCACTTAAATTGTGTTGCTTCCATTATACCATATACAGTTTTAGTAATGAATCTAAACATTTCTCATAATTTAAACAAATCTGTATATTATAATGGTATACTATACCTTTTAATTCTCAGCAAAATGGATTCTTCTATCAAGTGCATGTGCATACAAATTTAAGTTTAGAATTACTTACAAGCTTAGAATTACTAAACATTGAAAGATAGTTTTAATATTAATAAAAATTCTTTTAATTGCTTAATTGTTCTTTTGTAGCATTAAATATATATAACTGTTAATTTTTTGTCACTTAATATTTACTATTATTTTCTTTCCCAGGGGTAGGAATTCTACCGATTAAAGAGTAAGTATTTTTTAGTTTTATTTCAGCAAATGTAATAAAATATGTAATACGTTGAGTACATGATATCCATGCAATGCATTCATTAATTTGTAGTAATTTATATGCTCGTTACTAATAATTAATATTTCGGTTACTAATTTATAACTCTATGATGATGTTTAAGAAGCATAGCTTAGAAAAGAAAGAAACACAGAGAAAGCAAGAATCCTAAATTTTCTTGAGTAGAAGTCTAAATTTGAAATCTGCATTTAATGAAAGACAAATTTAAAAATACGGTTTTTAAAAAATGAACCAATAAGATACAAATGAAACTGAAGAAATTAAATTTGTTTGAATTTTGGAGTTCATTTTCTAGAAATAATTTGATAAAAAATATTGGAGTAATAATTCCAATTCAGTTCAGAACTCAATAGCCGCGATTCAGTAATTTAATGTCTTGTGCACAGCGCAGGGTTTATATTCTACAATATGAGTTGTTTGGAAGTATCCAAGACTTATTAATAGTAAGTAAGCTGTATCCAGAGCTATCGAGAGGGCTCGAGTCTTCCGCTTTCGAGAATTATAGATAAAAAGCAATGGACTGATTCGTAGAAATTTTTGCAGATTTCACTAATTGATATCTTAAAATGCAGCAATCGCATTCTTCTGGATGAATATTTCTTTTGGATATCAATAAAACAAATCTTTCCATAGTTTTGAGTTAAAAATGCTTAGCTGTTTTTAGGTTATAAGGTATTTCTTCCCCCTTATTCCATGCCTTTGTGGTGTTACTGGAAGCATGCTTGAGACGTATTCGGGAGTTCCAGAGTTCGAATCCCGGCGAAGGCAATGCACATTTTGCATGTTCCTGCACCAATGTAACCTAATGACTCTACAGTGGTGCTCGAACTGAAACGGTAGTGGACGATAACTCGTCATCACCGGGATTTGGCGAATGGTTTCTCTCATCCCCAGTATCCCTTTAAAAAGAGGAATATATAAAGTATTTCCTCCCTCAGCATGCCTTCGTGGTGTAACAGGAGGTATACTCGACGCGTATTTGGGAGGTTCAGAGTTCGAACCCCGATAAGGGCATTGAACATTTTTTAATTTCCGCATCTATATAACCTAATGACTCTATAAGGTTAAAATCTGAAAGACCAGCGCAACGAGCGAGCGTGAAAATTTGAGTTTTCGAAACTTTTTCAGGATTCTGGAGATTCGAAGATTTACATGTCTGATTTCTACTTAAGAGTTTCTCTTCAATCTCTACAGCTGGGCATCCCCTACTCTAATTATACAATAACAAGATATAAATATAGGAATTATCTTTGAAGAAAGCATATGTTCATATTATATGCATAAACAGTAAAATTCTAAAATTGCTTATTTTATATTTTGATGACGCACATTATTTTTCATTGTGTTGTTTCCTCTAATAGAATAGTTCAATTTATTTTCTTGTATTCTGAGTTAAGGTTTATGCATGTTTTAAAGCATTTAAATAAAAAAATACTGTCTGTCCGAAATAAGTTTAGGAAGGAAGTACAATGAAATCATTTTCAGATCTCAACTGTCTTAAAGTGTGAAGTCAGGCAAAAAACTTCGTTTGGTATTAAAAATATTTAACCTATAATTTGATTAAATAATACATAATTACGATTATAATATGCTCATACAATTGGCAGTTTTACATCCCATTATAAGCAATGAATCATTTTCAGATTCAGATTTTCCGTATGAAAAAGTCAGAATATGGTGTCCATTTTGAAAACGTCAGAATTAATGACTGACGTTTGGATCAAGTCATGCTACGCAGAAATTCGATCTTTTGTTTGTTGTACAATCAATACGTGAGGTATACAAATGACAACAATATTTCTTTTTTTCAATATCTTTGAGAAGCATTTGTCATCAGAGTCTTTATTGATGCTAAGCACATCACTATTATTGAAAAGAAAGGTGTGATTTTCAAGCAACTATTATCAAACTTTTTCGATGTTGCCATCTATTCGAAATTGCGAAATGCAACCTCTCCTGTGTTCATCTTAAGTACCTTTGCAGCCATCACGAAATCGTCCGTACCAGTGAAATACACTTCAAATATATTCTTAGCTGTTCAACTTCCGAATTCTGTCACATGAAATGCTCACTGGATCAAAACTAATCATCAACAACATAAAAATTCTGTTCCTAAGCAGGAGATATTTTAGGAAAATTTGAGATCGCATAGTAAAAAAAGTATTGTCCATTATTATCTGGAAGATTTACTGCAATTCGCTTAAAAAATTAATCCTAAAACTTCGAAGATGTGCTGTGTAAATAGGAATCGTTTAGTCTTAATATATTTGGAGAACTGTATTTCAGAAGCTTTTATGCTTAAGAGATGTGATAACAAGTATCGTTTTTCCTCTAGAAGAGAGAAAGATCCAGTGACATGGAAAATAGTAGAACCTGAACCCTCTATCTGCTCTGATCAAATAGCTGTAAGTTCATGATTTTATCTATTTTTTTGAATTGGAAAATTATGTCAAGTTTTGAAGTGCCCAAGATTTAATCATTAAAAATATATTTCTTATATATAAAAAAAAGGAGCAAATGCTTTTATGATTTGTGTTCAGTTTGAAACTGTTAAAATTTTTACCCTTCAGAGGTTTAAAAAAACTAAGTATGAAAACTGAAATTAAAATTATTTTTAAATGCTATTAAAGTGTATAGTATGTAAAAGTAAATCCAATATGAGTAAGTGTCGAAATTGATTATAAATGCTAATTAGTAATTGAATGATAAATAGCTTTCACACTCAAAAGAATAAAGGAAATTTATTATGTTTCTCTGCAGAAAAACCTTGGTTATATTCTTTTGATTACGTAGCAAAATTAAAATAATAAACTTTAACTATAATATATATCTTTTTTTTAAAAAAAAGAAAAGATGGCCCCGGAATTGTCATAAGTATATATTTTAGAGAATACGCGGGATTTTTATCAATATCCATTGACGTTCTGTTTGATGTATATCATTCAATTGATTTTAATATCCTTAAAGCTTCTTTTTATAGCTTTGTTTTAAAAATACGACAATAATAAATTAAACATTTAAATTGTGTAGACTTCCTCACTTTGTAAATTCTAAGTTACTCTTGGAAGTGAAGAATCTTAAGAACTGATAAGCGAATAATCGCTTGAGTTCGTGTGACAAGAAACAACAAGATACAAGGGTAAACTAACCCTTTATTATTCCAACTAAGGTTTAACAAAACTCCGTCTTGGAATGTATAATAAAGCCGACACTTGGGCTTTGAACTTAAGAGACTAAGAATAATACTAAACTAATATAAAACTAAAAGAGGTATAGCCGAAGCTATCAATAAATTCTAACAGAGTTGGCCCCTTAACGTTAATAGACTGCGAAGTTATCAAAGGCCTAAAGTACGGCCGAGCGTGATAATAGCTTAGGAGAGAGTAGCCTAAAAAGGCGGACGCGTGCAGACAGAAATTCTGGTATCTCTCTCACTAAGACCGAAGAACTTCGCGGTTAAATACCGCTCTTCCTCATTATGTATTCAGATGTGATTCTAAAAACTACGTTCTGGCCGTAAGTAGTAAGTTAAGGATCGACAGGAAAGAAACTTTAATTCAAAATTTAACTGTTAATAAAATTAACCCTTATTGCATTGGAGCAAATAATATATACACACACGAGCATGTTTCGTAACTAAGTAATAGCCATTTATGGGGGTAGTTGTCTCTTGAATGATCACTCATACTACACTGCTCAAAATAATTAAAGAATATTGCGGTTTTAGGTGGATCTTGTGGCTGGGAAACTTTTTAGCTGATTGATACATAGTCGACAGACGTAGTAGGTTATATGAGAATAAATTACACATGTTTGGCAGAAAAAAAATGCATTTTATTGCGCATTTGTGTAGAAAAGGAAAAAAACACAATTTGTGCATATGAGAAAAAAAGAATAAGAAAAGGTGTTTTATTCAAAGGAAATCATTTTCAGTAGGGGGAATGGTTTCCACGGACGGCCAGCAACGTTGAACATCTTTGAGGCATGGAGTCAATGAGGCTATTAATCACGATTTGGGGTATTCTGTCCCACTCTTCCAGAAGAGCTTTTTCCAATTCTTGCAGAATTTGTGGGGATGGTTGGCGGCCAGCAACTCGTCTTCCTAGAGCGTCCCAAACGTGCTCTATTGGATTCATGTCTGGAGAACACGCTGGCCATTCCATTCGTACGATTCCTTTCTCGAAAAGGAAATACTCCACCAGGTTAGCACGATGTGGCCTGCAGTTATCGTCCATTAAAATGAAGTCATCTCCGATTACTGCAGCGTAAAAGACTACAATAGGTCTGAGGATCTCATCCCTATATCGGCGACTAGTCAGAGGTCCATCTCGAATGATGTAGAGGTCTGTGCGCCCATCAATGGAGATGCCACCATACACCAACACTCCCCCACCGCCAAATCTGACACTTTCGTGCACAAACGCAGGATTATTCCTACTGCCACGGTCCCTCCAGATGAAAATACGCCTCTTATCAGGATGAACAGAAAAACGGGACTCGTCAGAAAAAAGAACATTGCTCCATTCATTTCTCCTCCAGTTCACATGCTCTGTTGCCCACTCCCTGCGGTCGGGACGATGCCTTGATGTTAGTCTAACACAAACCATCGGTCGGCGAGCATACAGACCTACACCATGGAGCCGGTTTCGGACAGTCTGAGTTGGAACTGTGGTGAAAGTAGCCGAGCGAAGGTGTTGTTGGAGAAGAGTAGCATTCATATTTTGGTGTCTCCGAGCCGTTAACACTAAATAACGATCTTCATTGGGCGTTGTTACCCGTCTACGACCTTGCCCTGGTCTTCGGCCTGCACTTCAGTTCCAAAAACGGTTCCAGATCCTGGAAATCACACTTTGTGACACTCCAATGACTTGCGCTACTTCGGCTTGAGTTTGGCCCCCTTCTAACCTACCAACAACTCCCCAAGCTTCTGAATTGGTTAAATGACTTCGCTGAGACATCGTACTCATCGAAACAAAGCAGTCACTGAATGCCGATCATCCTTGTCTTGATTGTCTTTTATTCAGTTGAAAGTCAAATTTCATTCGCTGCCACTGAAACGACGTTTTTGACGTCGAACTCAAAATTAGCATACTCTGCAGTTTGAAAATCAGAAAATTTGCATTTGTGATTCTCTTCTTCCATTTTCGGCAAAAAAAATTTCGCTTATATCTTTATTTTATATAAAACGTACAATATCCTTTAATTATTTTGAGCACTTTAGTAGCAATAGAACATCTAAAGGTGTTTAATACTTCACTGAACTATTAGTTGCATGCGATGATAAACCTTTAAAAGTTAACTCAAATGTCTGACAAGTTATCGGTTTTCTTGACGAGATGCAACTCAAAATGTAAAGGTTAACATAAAACTTTATTCCTCAGGATTTGCAGGATTACAACTAAAAACGCAAGAAAACAATTATTCACTCTCTTGACGAGAACGACTTGCTGTTAATCTATAGCCGGCTTTGGCAACCTTTTTTGACTAAGGGTCAAAATCAACCGAAATGTGTCTTTAAAGAAGACGTTTTGGGTCAGTGGTCTTTTCATTTTAGGACAGCCTTTCTTAGTGAACAATAAGATAATTTCATAAAGAAAACCATACAATATAAAAATTAACATTCTAATTATTATGCAAACAAAACTAACTATAATTTTCTCTTCGATATCAGTGACTCCTCTGATGCTGAACTCATAACATCAACTTAGTTAAGTCCGGCTTATAGTTAGTCGTCTTAAGACGAATTCAAGCGTCTGAATTTTCTATAGTTAAGCTGCTCCTCTTCTCACTTAAAATAAATTTCGTGTGTGAAAATATTTTCTCGCATTTATAACTTGAGCTGAATGCGAACAAAATGGGTTAATAGGTTATTCAATTATGGCAAAGCACACGAGGGCTATCTGCCTAAAGAGAGGGATGCCTTCGTTGAGGACTTTCTAAGGGAAACTGGCTCGTATACACGTTACACATGGGGAAAACCACAAAAACGCCCAGCCAGCCCGTTCGCGGGATTCGAACCTCGGACCGAACTACCAGTGTTCAGCGTCTTTACCGCTCGGCCGCTGGTGGACGCGAACAAAATGAGAAAGCCGTTTGTTTGGAATTATGGATTATGGATCGGCGTTGCCAAACTTAACAATTTCTCCTTGAAATTATGTTAAAATTTTTATTTTTTTAGAAATAAAAATACATGTCTTTTACTTCAACTTTATAATCAAACAAACACGTTATTATTATTTTTTTCAGTATATTTTTATATATTCTTGAAGTTTTCGTTTCATATTTATGTTTTATAATTTATTTTCATATATTATATTTAATTTTCGGAACTCGAGTGATTCATTTTGTAATTTCAAGCCCGCGTCTGCAGAGGCCTGATCTACAACCTTGTTAACCGGCATACAATTTCCAGTAAGTCCGTGCGAAGCTATAGCATATAGTCTGAGTCTAACGGAAAGCACAAATTTCAACACTTAATAAATGTGATCGTCGTCAGACATTTGACTTCGGTTACGGGTGAACGGCTGTCTAGGCAAGCAGCAACATCAATGCCCAGAATTCTTCTCAGAACCCTTTTGCATAAACCTCTGAACTGAAAGCAACGAAACAAGGAATGATAGAAAGAAATTAGTCTAAAGTTAATTGATAATAAGATTTAAATCAAATATCATGATAAAAATCACAAATTTTTTAACCTTTTTGTAAGCACTGTATAATTAGCGTTCAGCAAGAAATAATTTTAGGATTGCCGAATTATCATAAAAAACGTAGAAACAATTCTTTTAAAAAATAGCCAGAAATATTCCATTGGTAAACATAATCTATATCAATAAAAGAAAGTATTCGGCGATCGGTGTCCGTATTTGTAAATGCAGGGACTGAAAGTATCGAGATGCAGAAAAATTCAGCAAGCGGATTTTTCGTATATAGTAAGAATGGGGAAGACTCCGTGTATATCTCAAAATGATAGTTTCAGAATTCAATTCAGATATTCCTATTCAATTCTGAAGCGAATTTTACGGATCTAGCCTAACGATTGTGCTAATCAGGGCTTAATTTCAGTCTTTACTAAGATATAGAGATAAAAAAAATAGTCATTTAAACGAAGTTTACCAGAATTTTCAACGCAATTTACTCATTTTGCGAGCTTTTTCCAAAACACATCTCATATTTTGATCGCTATATCTCTAACGTATTTAATTACTAAAATCTCTGTTCGTAAAATATTTTGAAATTTCATAGATTATAAAAGAGGCCCACATCCCTGTTTTAAAATAAGAACGAGAAAATAGCAATTATGAGCTTAGCTGCATTTTTTTTTTTTTTTTTTTTTTTTTTTTTTTTTTACTATCTCACAATTGAAAGAGGAAAGACTTTTCATACTGCTATGCTATATAGTAGGATGCTCATAAAATGTTGGGTACAAATGTAATATAAATCACATAGTTTGTAATATGACGAAATAAAAAAATATTAGAATACCTGCTACTTTAATGTATAATTCTAGATAAGCTGACAAATAATAATCTCTATTGCTTAGAATTAAAAATATGTGTTGTTTTCTCAAATGTTATAAGAAATCTTGTTATTTTGAAATATTTATTAGAGCTGAATAAAAAGTATAAGAATTCATTCCATATAAAATACTCATTAAGAATAAATTCTAACATTATTATTAATTTTAAAGGATGTTATTAAAAAATTAAATTTGGGAAAAAAATGCCTTTCTTTAATTTTGTAAATGCTATTTTTCATTTTTCATCCATTATATATTTTAGCATTCCCATGTGAATGGGTCTACTTTGGAAAATAGCATCATTGTAAAAGTAGAAATTAAAGTTCCTGGAAACTCCAGTTTAGGCTGCAGGTAACCATTTATTTATTTTTTCTATGTTTGTGAGTGAGTGCCTTATTTCAATTATTTTTAATAAAAAATTTTAGTGTTAAATTATCGAGACGGAATTCTTTCTTTTTTCAGTGAGATTTAAGACAATGAAAAGTATATTCTAATGAAGTCCATGCTTAATTGAGTTAACGTAAATTCTTTTTATAATTCTGAACAAAATTTGTAATTTTTTTTCTTTCATATTTTTTCAGTATAGCGAAAGGTCCTCCTGAAATGCCAGGCATATTTATGTGCACGGTAAAGGAAAGAGGAATTGCAGATCAAGCTGGGCTTCAAGTTGGAGATCAAATACTGGATATGAATGGAACCAGTTTTCAAGACCTCAAATTGAATGAAGTATGTTTAATAAAATACTGCGCCGTTTTATTTTATCATAAGATATAAAATATCATAAGATATAAAATAATCATAAGATATAAAATAAAACGGAAAATTCTGCATTTTTTTTTTTTTATTCTTAACTTCATAAGTATATACTTCTGTTAGCCCATCAGTGGCTAAGTGGCAGCACGTTCGGACTCTGATGAGCAGACGTCTTATGACCATCTCTGGATCGCGCCGATTTAATTTGCCAGTTTGAACTATATGGCAAACAGTCTCGCAAGAACACTCTTGCCAATTCTCTAAGTCAATGCCCAGCTGGATAACTGCTTGCATCAGTCCCAGAAGTGGGCCAACGCATTATTGATTTTTTTCGCTTGTAGCTTTATTTCCTAAATAAAATATTCCGTTCCTATGATAGTGTTAGCATTTATAACACATTCATCGATATGTATACACCAATGTAATACATGTAGAGCACATTCACAGATTTTCGTCCCGTTCAGATAACTCCTTTTTAGTCCTTTATAGACTGTATATTTAAAATAAGTAAAATTTGCACGCATATTATCTGTTTTAACTGATAGTGCCGTACATGTATCATATCTACTGTGCCCAGGAAGAGTTTTAAATAAAGACCATGATCGACGTATGTGATGTGTATAATTAGTCTCAGTACTGTGTGAACGTGTAAGTACACATAGTAATGCCATCATTGTTACCAGATGAATTCAAAACAGACCAATATGTAACTACCCTTGAATGGGAAATCTCTCACCATTTCTCAAATATTTCATCTTTATTTTACTAAAAAGGTCTATATACAAGACGATCTGCAGGACTCCAATAGGAAGCTGATGTAATAAAGGCTATATTAAAAATTTTAAAGCAGCAAATAACTAACCAAAACCAAATGGTATTTTTTATATGTTTTTAACTGAGACTATTGCTTTAAAACGTACGCTAGTTTCTTTGCAATAGAATAGACTTACCAAGTCGTACTGTTGTCAAAACGGGAGCATTTCGATCACTCTATATATGAAAACGTTCTCTACCATAGTTAATTCGTTTTATTTTTACTTATTTATTTATTTATTTTGCTGTTTCTCAGTGTGGACCTTTTGTTATCTTAGAACTAGGTTATCTTATTGTATTCTACTAATCTCTAATTCAATTATAGTAAAAACTGTGGATTATCAAAAAATAAAAAATATTCCGTGTAATCATTGTAAGTGAAACTGCATTTCGTTTATTAATTCAGATTTCGTTTTCTTTTTAATACAGGCTGTTGCTCTAATGAAATCGGCGAAAGATATTCGTTTAACTGTCAAGAAAGGAGCAGGCATTAGTCTATTTCTAGATAATGGATCAACTAGCCAGCTATCGAACAGTAATAAAAATGACGATACAGTCTCTACAACCAGAAGTCTTAGTGACGGGTAATTGCTTCCATCTGTTCATCTCAGAAAAATTTTAATGGATCGCTTTAACTCTGAATTCTTATTCAGACGGACTGAACAATTCGCTTATTACTAGCAGATAATTTGCTAATATTTTTTCTTTTGGTGATTGATTTTTATCAACTATGTTCTTCATTCATTTATGAAGAATGGGCACAGTTTAATTATGCATACTGGGTGGTGTAGTAATGGCATATTTTATTGTGGTCTTGGTTTATGCAATGTTAATTCATTTTTTTTGTAGAAGACATGTATTAACTCAAAATTTTGTAAGTTAATATTATCGATTCAAAGTTATTTGTTATTGTTTTCTTTTATTTTCAGAAATAAACAATTTAATGCCATTCCAGTTCCATTTTTATTTCAACGCAATATATCATTTTATAATTAAAATATGTATAATTAATAAAAATAAACTTGGATGAGAAATGTCATTGACTGTTGTATATTTAAGTTTTAAGTCTTCTGAATTTCTTCTGCTAAATGCTGAGCTTTTTAATTTCTGTTTAATATATCATTATATTTACAGATTTTATTTTAAATACGGCAGAATCAATGCCGAAAATAAAATTAGTTTGCTTGTATGTTGTTACTAAAGATAAACTATTATAAAAGTATAAATAAACTGTGCAAAATAAATTTTATCGAGAACATTAAAGAAAGTCAGTTTTCGGACTAAAACCCACAGGATTACAATAAGTTCAATAGAATTATTAGCTGCTTTATTTTCCTATTTCTGTTATTTAATTATTCCTCATCGTAATTATCTGCATTATATAAAACTTAATATTTACAGAATATGTTTCATTCCTCTACAGTTTCAGTTCGTAATTCAGTTAAGGAAACTTATGTGTTAAGAATAATGTCTAAACATCAGCGTAATTATAGATTTGTGGCGTGTGTATGCAGTATGACTGATTGAAGCATATTAAACAGTAATACATACACTTTAATTTAAAAGTGTGTATTTGAATATTTTATAATTATTTAAAAAAGGACATTTTGACAAATGTTTTAAACATGGGTATTTTTGCTAGCAATTATTAGAAGATGTAGCTTAGAATGTTAATAGTTCACAATGCAAACTTTTAATTTTTGAAGGATTATTCGTTTAACGGCTGTCAAATGTTTAAATAATACTTTTTGTTTATATCTTTAAGTGAGTATGCCATAAGATACACTTAAAATTATTTGTTATTTTAATTATTTTGCAGTAAAGCATTATTTAACATTTTTTTTAATTAGCAGTATTCTTAGAAAATGAAAAATGAGCTGATAATACAGTATAAGTGCAAGCTCAATACAAGAGCAATTTTATTTTTCATAGTATGCCAAATTTTTATTAATACTAAAATAAGAATCAAAATATCCCCTCAATGACTAATTTTCTAAATTCACCTAGATCAGATTTCTAAAGTCTTATATGTATATTAGGGATTTATAAGCTCAAAATAAATTCATCCTGTGATTGAAGTTTTTATTTGTATGCAAAAAAATAAAATTTTTATTCTTTTATATCGTTTCACCATAAGAATAAATTCCTGTAGTTTTAGATATAGTCATCGTACTCACAAAATGTGTCTATAGAGAAGTAGACCAACTTATATTCTGTGGTTCTTTCACTATCAAATAATATTTTTCAACTAATGCCAAATTATAATAAAATAATAACTAACATTTTCATAAGGAAATGCACAATACTTACTCAAATATACCAAAATTCAGATATCAAAATTAAGAGATAAACAGAAAAATTTTTAACTTAACTTCTTTAATTTTAATACACTTAATTTTCAAACAGCTTATGGATAAACTATGATAAATATATTTATATTACAGCATAAAATACTTTGTTGGCTTGGATTTTAAAAAATTAATACCCGCTAAAATCTTATTTTGAGAAGAACTCTGTAGTTTACGTTAAGAACATAAGTTTATGGACTTCAAGTCAGTCACTTTGCTTTCGGTAATGTTTGTCTGCTTGCTAAGGAAGTAGACTAGCTTCGATAATTTTTACAATAACAGCAGGTTTTAGATGAAATTAACGTGCTCACACATTCTTTTAATGGAAAGATTTTTGGTATTTTTCATTTATTCATTAAAATACTATAATAGCAGGTTTTTTTTTTTTTTTTTTTTTTTTTTAATTTTTGGTATTTTGTTTTTGCAAGGAAGAACATTGAAACATAATGCAATTAACCAATAATAAATAATTATGAAGACAAAAACAGGAAGACGTTTAACTGAATATTTAAAAAATGGCCATTCTTAACAATAATGATGTAATGTAATTTTAAGATAATACCATCAGTTTCATTTGCCTAAATTACCTTTCTCACGTAATTTTTATTTTTAGTTTCACTTATTATTTTATTAAAAGTGTTTTAATAATTTTAAATCTAACCCAATATCTGTATTCGTAATACATACTAAAATTTAAAATTACTTGTGTGGTTATTTTCCATCCAGTTTATAAAAAAATAGTCAAAGACAGTTAGTTCTTTGGGATTTCATTCCGAGTTCTCAGGAAAAAATTGTGGACTTGCACTACAGCATCAAAGCTGTGCACCAACAGCTTTAATGTACTTGATTTCATTATACTTTGTAAGTAGATAAATATTTTTAATATGTTTTTGCACGTAGTTAGTGCTTAGCACATTGGGTGACCAGCACTTTGCCTGCATGTTATTGCTTTGAGCATGCTTTCATTCGAAGAAGGTGTATGTGTATATTTATTTTGGTTCTAATTTCAAATTTAAGTTTCTTACAAAAAATTGAAACATGAAATGAATTCAAAATATTTAAAAATATATAATTTTAGCAAATTCGTAAACTGAAATTAATCATATTTTTGCTTGTAAAATGTACTTCTGTTTTATTTTCTTGAGTTATTTGACTATTTTTATTATTTTCTAGTCCTTAGCATTAAAAAAGTAATTTAATTTTTAATTTAAAGTAGTTAGTCATAAAGAGTTTAGAAGGGAATTGTTAAATCTTTAAAAATAATCGGTTGTACATTAAAAATTTAATTATATCAGAATCACTTCTTTAATAACTTAATATTTAAAGCATAAAACGAGAGACATCTAATAATGCAATATTAAATATTATACATTATATGTTTATGTACATAATGGAAATTTAATGCGAAAATCTTTTTTACAAGCTATTCTGTCAGGTTTTGCCATTTTCTTCTTTAAATGATTTTACAAATTTAAAAACAGTTAAGAAATTAATATTGTAATTCTGTGATTTACAGCTTAGTTTTGGTTCAGCCAAATTACTGACTTTCTTTTCTGTAGAGACTAATAGTTTGATTTTAATTATAATGAAACATTTCAAATAAATAAATAAATAAGTTCATGTGTGAGCTATAAAATATGTAAAAATAATTAAAAAGTTCACTCACATTTTACTAAAGCATGCTGGTTTTCCTTTTTTTACGGTTTCTTTTATTTCTTATACAAATTTTTACGCGAAAATTTTCTAAAGATCATATTGTTGCATTATTTAGTATTACTATTAAGCGTATTAAGAAAAAAAAAATTTTCTACAAATTTACAATTTTCATACTTAAAATTCAAAGTATTTGTTTTTATATCATGTATACTCTGCATACACACACAAAAGGGTGGACACAGTTCTATATCTTCTTTCTACAAAGCCGATTGACAAAATTTAACTTGCGTTTTTCATGTCTCGAAAGCTCGACTTGAAATATACATATATATTTATCGATATTAGATATAGATATTATATTTATACATAGTTTTGTTCAAACATAGGTATTTTCACACAAACTCGAACTTTTCCTGAAATGATATACCGACTTTTTCCATAATTCGATTATACACCTCATATTATGCCGAAGTGTCAAGTTCTCTAAAAATCGCTCCGGTAGTTTTTAAAAGATTAGGTCTCAAAATTTTAACTCTTAAACATTAATTGAATTCTGTATGTATTTATTAATAACTCTTTTTTCGTTCTATTTACTTGGTTCCTTCTTTTATATTTCCGAACTTATGCTCAATACAAATAAAATTCGCATATCTTTTAGTAATTTTTATAATTTTTTCAAAACAACTTTTAAATTATAGCTTATAACACTGTTACCATCACCTTAAAGTAAATGTATTTCTAAGTCTGCCTACAAAAATACAAAAAAGTATATATATTTCTAGGCATACCTTCAAAAAATTAGAAATTTTTATTCAAAATTCCCATATGTAAATTTATGTATTGGCGCATTTTCAGATTTGACATATTTGTTATAAGCGACAATAATGCCAAATATGGTTTTGCATTTTGTTAAAATTTTTTGAAAGAGTCAACTAGGAAGCTTTTTTTTTTTTTTTTTTTTTTTTTTTTTTTTTTTCTTCACTCACGTGCTCAATGAAAGGGAAAGAAAAATATGTTACCATAAATTAAAAATTTCTCTAAGTGAATTGCTCTTGGTGCAAACTGAAAAAGTGCCATAGGTTTTTTTTTTTTTTTTTTTTAATTTTTTGCTAAGTTTCTCACCAAGTTTTATAAAATTTTATATTTAGACATAATTTGAGTCGTAGAATTGAAATATGGAAAACAATTGGTAAGTCCTTTAAAAAATCGATTTTGTGTCAAAATACCTGTGTAAGAACAATAGTATATATAAATATAATATATATCCTAAGTCACACTTTCAAGACATGAAAAACGCGACTTAAATTTCGTCAGTCAACCAAGTAAAACGGATGCCATAGAATTTATCTTCTCCTTTTTCTGTGCGTGTGTGCAGCGTGTATATATAGTTGGGGCAAATTAGAAAGTTAATCATTTTCAGGTAAACAGTTAAAAAAATAAATTAAAAATACCCTTAGATGTTAGGTTCCTTATAAAATAAACTGTGATATATACTTTGTTTTCATTTCTAAATTTATAAAAAGCTACTTTCAGTAATCAATGACTTTTAAAAAATATTCTCGCTGTACAATTGATACATTCTAAGTAGATGATTATAGTTCTTCATAGTAAATTAAAATGACAAAAAGTCATATTTTAATAAATGTTGTTTTGAATAATATAACCTAAACCACAGTTTAAAAAAATTCCAGATATCTATGAAAACAATTATTGAATTTTAGCTATAATTAAGTTTAGAAAAAAGGGATTCAAAGAGCAATTTTTAATCAATTTATGCTCAAGAAATTTTATAGAAACATGTTTAATTCAGCTTTAAAATTATGCAAATATTTTGGTACTAAACAGCCATTAGTTTTAGAGAACTTTGTAATTTTAAAAGAACGCAGTACAAAACTTTATTTTTAAAAAAGATGCTAAAAAAACTAGTACTAATACCAATCTAAAGCTGAATTTTGCAACTACAATTAACATGAGATTATGATTTCGAAAATTTTTAAAAATTACATGTGATTGTCATTACCTGTTAAATATTTTAGAAGGCTGTAAAGAACGTTTAGTTTTAAAACAAAGATTGTAATCAGTCTTCTATTTCAGCCTTTCAACAACTCTGAAGGACCATGAGTTTTCTGGCAGCTGTTCTTCAAAATCAGAAGGTAGCTCATTTCAAAGCAGTGTCTCTAGTGATTCAGAGAAAGACTATTCCATTTCCGAGGAAAGCACATTTGAAGGCCTGCCAAAAAATAGCAAGTGGCCCCATCACAAAAAGAATCCATCTACTTCGACTACTGAAGAAGACTCTTGGATTCTTGAAGAAAAAAGAAGTTTGGAAGAAGATCGAAGGAAGCTAGCTGAAGAAAAACGTAGGCTGGAAGAAGAAAAGAGAAAGCTAGAGCTTGAAAAGTCATCATCCTCATCATCATCTCAGCCACCTTCATTAGAAGATAATACATCCAGAGATAACAGCTTTCTGAATGAGCTTCAGAAAGTTGCTGCTAGGATGAATACCAAAGAAAACAGAAATGACTTTACGAAAAATGGTTCTGCTGGAAAGTTGAACAGACCTGGTTTGTATAAATTTTTACAACTAATGTTGTGAATAATAGTAAGATACGAGGCTTTTACTCGCTACAAATGTTGAATACCGCTTAAATTAAAAAATGCGCTGGCCATTAGAAATGCTACACCAGAAAAGAAAGCAAATAGCAGAATCTTATTTATTACACATATACAGTATATTGAAAGGAAAACATAAATAAATTTGCAAATAGTTTTGGGTACACAGCATGCACAGTTCAATATACAGAGCTGCCACCTATGGCAGCGACAACGGCTGTAATCTGGTTAGACATCGAGTCGAGCCTGTGTGACAGGTTAGAGTACTTCATGCCATGCGGCTTCAGCTTTATGCTGAATTCATCAGTTGAAGTGGCTGTCGAGAGTGGTGTACGAGTCTCTTGCTAACCCCCTGAACAACCTATGACCGATGTTCTCAAAGGGCAAGATATCTATATGCTGCTGGTCACCGAAACAGACAAATACTCTCTGCATATAGGAGGGCCAGGACAGCACGGGCAACATGCAATCATGCATTATTTTGTTGAAAGATGGAGTCACGCCGACCTCTAAAACAGGGCACACCCACGGGCCAACACGTCAGAAATGTTATGGCAGCTACCCACATCACCGGTTTTAAGAACAAGATATGACTGACACCCATTGGCACCCTATACCAGCACTCCAGGTTCTGGGCCCATCTGACGATGATGAATGCAAGTTGGCAACGTCCGTTTGCCTCGGTGCCTCCATACACGCATACATCCATCATGATACTGTACGCAGAACCAGGATTCGTCTTAAAAGATGAAGTGATGCCCCTCCTTGTGTACACCATTATTAATCTCTGCTGCAGCGGCAAGGGAAGCTGTAGCAGTGGTCGTCGTGGTAATAGTCTGTTGTTTTGCAAACGTCATCCCACTGTTCGTGTGGACACTTTTCATCCTGCACACGAGTCAAATTCTCGACTTAGTGTACGTGACTTGGCTGTACGATTCCATAAATTCGAAGGGACAATATGTTTGCTTTCTCGGGCGTTAGTCCCTCGGAGTCGCTGAGATATTCAATGGCATTCAGTATGGCCGTCCTGGACCCATCAATTTCATATTCGCCTGACAGTCATGGGATTGCGAGCAATACGAACAGCAATGTCGCGGAACGTAAAACTACGGTATGGATAGTCCACGACCTTGCCTTGGTGAAGCTTCAACACGGGCTGATATTGTTATTACGCGAGGTATAGCAAGACCTTTACACAAAAACCAATGTTCAGATGGGATTTCTAAATGAGCAACCAGCTATGAAATCTTCACATTTATACATAATGTAGATGGCATTACTCATATGTGCTTTCTACTCATATGCTGATCATTTCGATATCCCAGCATGTAACACTGTTCATGCAAATCAGACTTTTGCTGCATACTTCTTTCATACTGTAGCAATTTTAATACCTCAGCAGTGCATATTTGAGAAATAATACGTAACATTTTATTTTCAAAATTTTAATAAGTTCTTAAATTAATAAAAATGTATAATTTTTTCTTATTATTCCAGTTACCTAAATTTTTTTTAAATTCTAATGCATTCTAAAATAATAAAAAAAAATATGAAACAATTTCTTATTTTGATACGAGACTTAATTAATTAAGGAAAATCAATTCCATTAATTTAGAATATTTTATAAAAAAACACTGCAAAATAAAGTATATACACTTTAGAAGAAATTAAAAGATTATTTTAGGAAAATTAACTGCCTAGTTTTTAATTATACCAAAGTTTAATATGAGATGCAAACTGAAAAAAAATATTTAGAAGAAGGTTAATATGGAAATTATGACTGCTGAACATCGAGTGCCAGCACCTGATGTGCCAGCCTGGACTAGTAGATAAAAAGCATAATCAAACTCTTACACTTCCATCCCAATTTTTATTGACATTTGAGATATGGTACATTAGTATCTCATACATGTCTTTGTCCTTGTCATTAATCATGTAAAAAGACTTGTATATTTCTACTTTGCGTACACGCGATGATTAGAAACATACAAATCTTGCCTGGAAATTCAATCAGATTGGTATCACATCTTACTAATAAAAAGCATTTAAGGAGAGTCATACACTCCTCATAACATTTTTGAAAATATCTTGATGTAACTTTGTAGAGGATTAAAGATTACAGAAAAGGGTTACTTCTCAGAAAGGCCCCAATGTGCTGACTTCCAGAGAACTTCAGGGCTCATATTCAACAGAATCTCCTGTCTTCACTTGTTGATAAGCTGAACTTTGTGACAATGAACATTGTTATGATGATAAAATAATTTTAGGGGATTTAATAGTCCCCTGAAAAGTTTATACAAGTTTTCATAACTTTGTGGCTATTACAAACACACTACCCTCCAAAAGGTAAGGAACAGCATGTTTTTGGAGGTTCATTATTACAAAAATGTCAGTTACATTTAAATTCATAGTTTCTATGCATGATAGTTACGAAGTTTAAGAAAATATATGCAAAAACAATAGCTACTACTTTTATTATAGAAAGGAATACTTATATAGGAGTTGGGGGAAAAAAGAGGCAAAGATTGTAAGTTTTGTTCATGAGTGTTGATCTTCAATTGTTATTATCAGTTTCGTTGACAATATCCAGAAAGTCCTCCTCCAAGGTCGTTAGATGAGCTTGAATAAGGATTACTCCGTATCTGGTCGTTGCTTCCAATTTCACTGACCAATAACTTAATTGACAGTATGGAACGTCCCTTCCGCCAATGTATTGCAACTAATGTATTGAACACGTTCCTCATTAGAACCCATTTTTGTAATGTTAGCACCCCATTTTTCCTCAAAAAACTGAGATATACTGTTTCTCCAAAATTGGATTTCTCTGCCAAGAATGCAATTTTTTGTTATAATTCATGTTTGTGTTGAGCTTTAGAAACATTCTCTGTCGTATTCATTAAAGGTCCGTTTAGTGAACAACATGTCCTCTAAATTTCTGGTTTCTATGTTGCTTCATTCTCAAATTAGACACAAAAAACATGCTGTTCCTTTACTTTTAGAGGACAGTGTAGCTATAAGATTATTCATTTTTAAGGTGTGAAGTGATGTGCAAGCACTTCTACACTGTTACTTTAAAAACCTGTAAACTATTTAAAAATAACCTCTAGCCTTTCAAATCTTTGCTTCTGTCAAATAAAATTGGAATGAGATCCAATTCATAAATTGAGTATTGATGTGTTAAAAAAGTCACAATTTTAGCTTGGTCTCAGAAGGCTTAGATTGCGTCTTTCCTGAAATAAGGTTAGAAAGATCGAAATGATGATTTTCTTTATGAAAGGATGTATCTTTATGTAGTTTTATGAAATCTGTAATATTACTTTCCCTTGATACAGTTACATCTTCGATCGTGTAGAGCTTCAAAATAACTGTTACATGCTGCAATTATTTTTTTTTAAATAAAAAATGATCATTTCACGAGATTAAAGATATATCTTACATGCGCAAAATGTACAGAGAATGGCCATTCATAATTAAATGTTTATTTTGATTACAAATGTGTCTTATAGATTTAAAATTATAGTAAGCCGTTTAATATTTTCTCCAAAAATACTTTTGAAACTTAATTTTCGGATGTTACTAATTAGTTAAAGAAATAGACTTTCTCTTTTTTTTAGAAAATACGCTTTTAAAAATGCATTATATAAATTTCTACATCTTTAAGTGCTAGCTCATAAATGTTTTACATTTCTTCTTACATAGATGGTTTTAAAGGAAGAAGGTGCAAAGAAGATGCTGTGAAAAGAATGCAACACGGTAAAAAATAATGAAATTTTATTATTGCTTTTAATGCAAAAAATTCATTTAATTTGGTTATCTTTTAATGAATATGTTTAAAAACTTTCATTCCATAATGAATATGTTTAAAACATTTCATTCCATAATGAACTTTTAATGAATATGTTTAAAAACTTTCATTCCATAATCTGAAAAGTATGATATACATAATTTAAAACAATGAAGTATATTGTTTTAGCAGATCTTATTTGTAATTTTATACATTAATTCGACTAAAAATAACATGTGTAATCAATTAGCTATTCAAGACAATGTTTTGTTAAATTTTAATGATTTCATTATACCATCAGTATTCAATTTCCGTGCAGATTACCTAATTTTGATTCTAGTTTTAATAAATGCATTCTTCATGAAAGGAAAACTGCTGCAGTCAGCAGTAGCTGTAGCTGGAGGCAATATGATGGGCTCTTCTTCATTATGTAAAAGCTATTTTCATAACTTTTTAAGTGAACTCAATTTTTAATATTAATTTATCAGTTGTCATGTTTCATTAAGTGTCAGATAATTAAGGAAAGTATAGAAATATTCATTCACTTCTTTGTTTACTTTTGTTTAAGAACTAGAGTGAATCAGGCCGTTAACCAGGATAATCGTTAGTGATGTTGACTGCCATACCGAAGGGCACGGGCTCGAATCCCGGAGAAAGCATGGATATTTTTTTATATGTATAATGTCTGTGTGGCTTGGGGCATATAAATATGCGGCGAGGTGAAAATTCTCTCGAGAAGATGGTGGTAGGGGAAGAGGGCTGGGAGACCTTCGGATCCATCCTCCAGGGGGTCTTTTAGAATTGAAGGCGGAAATGAGCAAAGATATGATGCCCAAGTCTGTTGCCAACGACAAGCGCAATCTTGCCTGCTTGCCACGCTGAATTTCGTGAGTTTGCTCTAATATCAGACAAGCGAGAGCAGTCACGACAACAATAACAACAACAGACCGAATCCCAGAGCACTTCCAAAATTAGCTTGAACTGTGGTGGTCGTTTGGTGGTTATGACAATAAAAAATTATTATTAAGTTTTTAGTGCTGCTTTTAAGTATTTTCATTGCTTCCCTTGCAGTTTGAATGTAATTAGATTTTTAGAAGAGTCACTGCGTTCAAAACTTTGGTTACTGTAGAAAGCTACGAATTGGGGTTATATTTCCTTTCAAAATTTCCGTTTTTCAATTAATCTTAAACCAAAATTACATCTATAATATCATGTTAAATCAATTGCTTCCGAAACAAATGTGCGTAGTTCTTTCTTCACATGTTCCCTTCCCAATGAACATTTGCTAAACTGTTGCTTATTAAGCATTCTTCAAGATTTGAGGTTAACCCCCCCCCCCAATCTTAGTAATTCTCACTAAGAACATTTCCCAAGATACATCACAAGGAATGACTGATGTTGCAACCATATGGTGGGGAAACTTAAATGTTGTAGTAGAAAGAAAATAATCTCCCTCCACATGCGACTCCACGTTTGAAACACAAAGTATATTACATAAGTCTATGGACATCTGACCCAGGGCTTATTGTGATTCATCAAAGTAACAAAAATTAACATAACATAAAGGAAAACTGCAGAATAACTCCTTGTCATAAAATAAAAAATTATAACATAAAAATGATATCTATGCTTCTATATGAATGGAAAATATATTCTTTGCTAATCAGCCTTCTTCAGGTCAGTTGCTGGTAGACCATGTACAAGACGTGAGACCAGAAACAGAACCAGGAACAAGCCGGAAGGTCAGGAGCAGTTGGGGAATCCAGAGGAGCAGACTGAAGATCAGGAAAGGCTGAAGGATCCATAACTGTAAAGTCATTGATAACCACCCCTGACCGCTGCTTCTATTACTGCGGTACCGTTTTGTGCAACTTTTCGATAGCTCGATACTTCAGCGAATATACTCGCGTTCAGCAGGAGAGAGATGTCCTGCTCTTGCTAGATATAGAGAGAGTCTTATAGTGGCCCTGATACTTGGCAAATCCTGAATTGAAGTATTCGAGAAGTGTAATGTTGAGCGTGCAGTAGTTCAAACTTAGAACTTGGAACGTGGTAGTATTGTTGGCATATAGCTTTCATCAGCGACCATTAAGGCCCTGAGGTAGCATTAAGAGTGCAAACAGAATTAGCGTCGATGCGGTGAAAACAGATGAAGCAACTGCCGCCATACGATTCCATTCGATTGTCAATAACATTTCTCGATAGCTGTTGCGCTGGTGGTGAATTTTAACTTAGAAAAATATTTCTGCTGCTGTTAAAATTGTTGTGAATATTTCTTCCGACTTTCTTGAGTTTTTTTAATGATGCTAAATATTTCTTTTAAAATGCTTATCCGGTTTATATCAGTGGAGTTTTCTTCAGTAAGATTTCTGAGTTTTCTGAAGTGTCGAACTATTTTACTGTATGATTCTTCGGGCTTTTGACAGGGAAGATTTAGGCTTTCTAGAATTGTTAGTAAGTTCTGGAAAATTTTGTTCATTATTTTGGATGGGATTAGGAGAGTTTTTAATGGTTTTTCTAGAGATCTTCAGTAACTGTTTCTCGTATTCCGGATATCTATGATAATTACTAGTCTGAGGACCTGTACAAAAAAATGCAAACTACTTATCGTTTCAGGCATTCTGAACTTCTGTGACTTTGGTCGCAGGTCACCCAGCGTGTTTTATTAAAACAAAGATATTGCGTGTGGCCGAATGGCAGACATTTGAAGCATTGAGTTTGCCCTCGTTTATTCGGCTTAAATTCCCTGTTCACGTTTGCATACATTATATTATTTACACTAAAAATCGCAAGGACGGCTTCAGTTCTTTCTATTTCTAAAATGTTTGTAGAGTCATTAGGTTAATTGGAAGCAGAAAATTGGAAGCAGAAAAGATTAAAAATTTGCAACCGCCTTCGCCGGGAATCGCACCACGGAC